TTCGCAATAGACATGGATCATGCTGTATATATCAGGGGCAGCATTAATAAATCGACGGATACGATGTTTTATGAATGGACACCGCACAGTCGTAAAAAAACTAAAAATTAGAATTTTTAAAACCGAAGGAAACCCTTCCTTTAAGAATAAAATTTAAAAAAGCATAATTTGCTACCAAATAAGTACAAGAAAGGATTTTTTCGTGCATGCTTTCCATAAAATATATTTGAATTTATAAATGCAGTCAAAATCAACGATAAAAATGTATGCTATTTAAGTAGCCATTTTTTACAGAATCAAATTTTTCGCAGCGGTCAGAAAGAAGCTCATCACAGAGTTGGCATCCTAGCGTGACTGAAATGAATTGAAATTGGACTGCATGATAAACAGTATTGCAACTCTACTCAATGTTGGTTTGTGAGTGATTGCCGGTCTTCTTCAAATTGCGGAATGTTGCTTGCAGCACTCGCCATACTGTATACATAAGAAAATGTATATGCGAATGGAGGGAGGAAAAAAATGGCGGCTCAGTTTGAAGACGTGCAGATGATGCCGCCCGTAAAGTGGTCGCATGGTGTTTACAGTCGGCAAATGTCGCATGATTCACCCATGCTGTGTCAGCACAGGTACTGTCTTAAAGCCGTGTCATGCAGCGGTGGAAAGTCGGCGAAACACACGCGTGGGTATCTCTGTGTTGTCAATGGGGCGAATCATACCTCACTGAAGCTCTCTGTTGACGGCTTCTGGGAATTACGCGGTTATTCCACCGAAATAGTGCACTCACTTTGGAATATGCATATTGACTATCGGTCCGAGCCAGAACAGCCTTAATTTTTGACATTTGAAAGCTGACCTTGCACGGTTCAGTGTTCGGCATCACGGCAACAGGTCTCCGTGTCTGCACTCCACGAGGCGCATCAAATTCCCCGCAAGTAGCGTCATTTGCTGCTTGACATCTGGTTTACGCGAACAAAAAAAAAGATACTCGGGTGCATCCGTCGTTTATGCGTCCTGACCAATACAGGCCTTTCACCAGGATATAGTAGTGACTCTCGCGGTAGCTGGTTT